TAAAAAAAAAAATGTTTGTTTATTCTTGAGAGAGAGGCAGACAGAGACAGAGTGTGAGTGGGGGAGAGTCAGAGAGAGACGGAGACACAGAATCCCAAGCAGGCTCCAGGCTCTGAGCCGTCAGCACAGAGCCCAACGCGGGGCTCGAACTCACGAACTGCGAGATCGTGACCCGAGCCAAAGTCGGATGCTTAACCGACTGAGCCACCCAGGCGCCCCCTGATTCTGCCTTTGATGACTGTGGACCAGTCACCTAGCCTCTCTGTACCTCAGCCTGCTCATCTCTGAAAGAGGGATAATGAATGATGGCCCCAAGTCCCAGAATTCAATGTCAGCACTTGCAAAGTCAGAAAACATGGTAAGTCCTGCATCCATGTTTGCTAAATAAGATGAAACACATATCAGTACACTTTATTTTCTGATTTCCCATTGGCTGTCTGGCATTCTCAGAATCCTTGCTGCCTGAGAAAATCGAACCCACAAAGAGTTCTCAAATGTCGTGAAACTTCTATGAATGTCAAACCAAACATAAAGATGATCCGGTGTCATATCTTGTAGGTATTTAATGAAGCATCTATTAATTCTATTTATTATTTTTTTAAAAATTTAACGTTTATTTATTTCTGACAGAGAGAGAAAGAGAGAGAGCGTGAGTGGGGGAGGAACAGAGAGAGAGGGAGACACGGAATCGGAAGCAGGCTCTCTAGCTCTCGGCCCTGGCTCACCCCGCCGGTCCTTCCATGATGTCGGGGCTGGAAAGGTACAAGGGGACATTGAGTCAGCCTCCTCACTGACAGACGGGAGGCCCAGGGCTCTGGAGCGAAAGAGACTAGACAAAGTCCGAACTGTGTTGGTCCCAGGTCCCCGCTCCTGATGATAAAATTTCTTTCCCTGTTTGATCCCTGCCCACACTTGGCCTCGTCCCGGGGTAGCCCAAGACCGTACTTCCCAGCAATGACCCCGGGGCCTTGCAGCTCCTCGAAGCGAATCTTCTCCCTTTGAAACTCATTACCCCACGTCCGTTCTCCAACGGCCCTTGCCTCCTAGAACTAGATGAGTTGATGCCAGATGGTGTGTGTGTGGCTGCCTCTCCCTTCCTCCTTCGGAAGCTTCAAATCCTGGCTCCAGATCTCACTTGCTGTGTGATGTTGAGCATCACTCAGCCTCCCTAGGTGGTGCTGGTCTTACCCAACACATGAAGACAATACAAGCTGCCGTCCAGGGCTCAGGACCGTACTTGTCCACGTTCAAGGAGCTTCCGGCATAAAGCAGTTCCTTGGGCAATGTGAGCACGTCCCCCGTCCCCAGTCCTATCAGGCGTGTCTTCCTGCAAACCTTCTTAGGTCCTTTCTTCTCGCTACTGTGTCGGTGCCTAAAATAACTTTGAGGTTATCCCCTCCAGGAGAATTTTAGCAGGGATCTATTTTGAAAAAGCAGAGCAGCTGAGGATGTGAAAGTATTTCGTGTGCGGCGGGGCGGATGGTGGAAAGAGGGCCGGAGGAGGGGAGGAGGGAGGCGGTGAGCCTTCTCGGGCGGTACCCCTACCCTGGCGGCAGGTGAGAAAACCCCAGTGTTTCGGGCGCTGTTGCGATCGAGATCTGGGAGCGGTCGGGTTTCGATTTCCGGAAAAACAGAAGGATGAGGGACAGGGATTTCAGCAAAGGAGAACCGTAAGTGAGTCACAAGGCGGGAGAAGTCAGGCCGGGAAACTCACATGACTGTGAAAAGTATTTTAATAGATTCTCTGGAATGAATGAAAAGCCTCTGAACCTGACCCTTGTGGTTCTTGTGCTTAATGATCGAAGGTGGGGCTGTGCAGACCTAACTTACCCCCGGGGAACAGTCTTTTCTTCTTGAGGACCAAGGAGAAAAGATCAGAGCCCAACTCTAGACCCACGGAACTGTACGGGCAGGAGGGAATCTCAGCCGTCATCCGGTCCTGTCCACCCTCGTACAGACAGTAGACAGAAGCCTGGAAAAGAGAGGGTCGGTGGCACCATTTCACACGAGCCCCTGAGGCCTTCAGCTGTGTAAGAACCGCCGGGAGAAGGGTTCTCTGGGAGCATCTCTTGGTGACACTGGCTCTTTGAATCCGTTCAGCCCCCAAACATTAGGGCTACAAAAGAGAGCTGTGTACACAAGAATGGTGCTTGGGCATTGCCCCGGCAAGAACGTTGGAAAACGAGAAAACTGACCTAGTAAAGCAGATGGGTTGTGGCTGACTTTTCCTTCTGCTCATCGTTGCTTAGTGGTTGCCCTAGTGTGTTTTGCAATCGCCACTCGGGGAAAAGAGGCTTCAGCTGTAGGGCTTTCGTGATTCCCTCTGTTGGCTCGTTGTATTGTTTTCCTCTCGCTGCCCTAACTCACAAAAGAAGTGCCTCGAAACAACATACGTTTAGTATCTCACAGTTCTCTGAGTATGACTGGGGTCACACTTTGGGCTAAAACGAAGGTGCAGGCAGGGCTGTGTTCCTTTCTAAAGGCTCTAGGGGAGAACCTGTGTCCCGGCCTTTTCCAGCTTCTAGAAGCTGCCTGTGTTCCTTGACTTGTGGCCCCTTCCTCCACCTTGTGTGATTAGATTGGGCCCCCACGGATAATCACGGAGGATCTCTCTGTCTCAAGGTCCATACCCTTAATTCCAGCTGCAAAGTCCGTTTTGCCCTGTAACAAATATTCACAGGTTCCAAGGATTAGGGTTGGACATCTTTGGGGGACATTAGTGGGCCTACACTTTTTTCCCCCCACGTGGCTTTTCTAAAAGCACAGCTCATTTATTTGCAGAAAAGAACATTTTCATCATCATAGGAAATATGGCTAAACCAGAATTTTTCCAAGGATCTTTTATTGTGTTTTAAATGTATTTTATTTTATTTTTAAATTTTATGTATTTGATTTTTTTTTTTATAAAATTTTTAACGTTTATTTATTTTTGAGAGAGACAGAGTGTGAGCAGGGGAGGGGCAGAGAGAGAGGGAGACACAGAATCCGAAGCAGGCTTCAGGCTCTGAGCTGTCAGCACAGAGCCCGATGTGGGGCTTGAACTCATGGACCGCAAGATCATGACCTGAGCCAAAGTTGGGTGCTTAACTGACTGAGCCACCCAGGCGCCCCTGCATTTGATTTTTTAAGTGTATTTATTTATTTTGAGAGCGAGAGGGAAAGACAGAGAGAGAGGGAGAGAGCAGGGGAGGGGCAGAGAGAGAGGAGAGAAAGAATCCCAAGCAGGCCCCGCCCCGTCGTTGTGGAGCCCTGACGCCAGGCTCAAACTCACCAACTGTGAGATCGTGACCTGATCCGAAATCAAGAGCTGGACACTTAACTGAGCTCCCCAATAACCCCTTAAATTGTTTATTTTTAGTTCTATTTTATATTCTGAATATTTATATACACAAAAATACCTAACTCACAAAAGTACAGCTCCTTTTGTACATTTTCCATGTAATCAGCCCCCACGTCAAGAAACAGAACATGTTCTATGGTCCCTGCTCACACCCACTTTAAGCGAAAGACGCGATTCAACATTCGCTGATATTTAAAAGTTCCCTATGTCAACCATACCTGGGGTATCGTTGAAACAAAAACCAGAGGGCACAAGCGACGTTCATTTATCCATTCAACAAATTAAAAAAAAATTTTTTTTTAAGTTTATTTATTTTGAGAGACGCAGAGACAGGGGCAGTGGGGGAGGGGCAGAGAGAGAGAGGGAGAGAGAGAGAATCCCAAGCAGGCTCCTTGCTGCCAGTGCAGAGCCCGACGCGGGGCTGGAACCCACGAAACCTTGAGATCATGACCTGAGCTGAAACCAAGAGTCGAAGTCGAACTGACA